AGTAGCGGGAGGAGGAGGAGGAGTAGCAATAACAGCAGCAACAGCGGCAGTATGAGAAGCAAATGTGGGAGCAGCAGGACTAGCAGCAGCAGTAGCAGAAGCCCCAAGCAACTTTTGACCTGGTACCAGCATTGGCAAACTGCAGCAACGATAGAAACACGCTAGGCCCCAAACCGTAACCTGCGACCGAACCGCATCAACTTTAAACTTTGCAACTTTCCGTGAGGTAGGACCTAAACCCTAAAGCCCTAAACCTTTAAACCCTTAAACCCTAAACCCCTAAAAACCCTAAACCCTAAATAGCCCTGAGTTGAGGCCAAGGCGTTCCCACTTCAGGTCGGGCTCATTTACATCCACCGGGGATCCAACCTGTCGCATCATAGACATTTTGTACCATGTCATAAGTAGGAATAATGATATGTATGTATATATATACATACATGCATACATGTGCATCGTGTTTATATGCTCATCAGTCATACATACATACATACATACATACATACATACCTACATACATACATACATACATACATACATACATACATACATATATATATGTGTGTGTGTATGTGCTTCCGTTCGGAAAAATATGGTTTCTAACATGCAGCTTACGGTAACAGAATATGACATACTAGAATGTACTGTAACATGTTATAATATATAAAAAACACAATACGATATACAATAAAGTACAACCTACAATCTAAATACAAAAGGACACATTAAAATATAAAATATCCAAACGATAATACCCTAGAATATACCTGAATAGAATAGAACATACTCCAACTATTGACAATATAAGAGATAAAAGATAATCCGAGATTTGAAAGTGCTGGGATGTGGGTCGGTGCTCGTGTTGTGTCTTCAGACGTTTAGATTTCATTTCTGGAGTTGATATGCTGTTGCGTTTGCTCTTTGGCTTATGGCGTTGAGGGGTCAGTTCAGGTTTAAGTTTAGTTCAACGATTACCCTGGATTGAATTAGAGGGCTTCAGGGCCCAACAAGGATGGTGGCACCGCAGGAGACCCTAAATGAATTCCAAAGGCTCGAGACGCCTCAAACGTAACCCGATCCTGCACCGACATAGTAGAAACCATGAGACCGCTGAATGCATGCACCCTAATCCCCAAACCACACAGCATCCACAAAGCCGTCAGGCATTCAGTTCTACTGCCGGTGCAGCCGAACAGACCGGCAACGCAGGTGGCTTCCACACCCACAACTGCACAACCTTACACTCCAACTTGGTCTGTCAGGAAATTGTTTTTGTTTTTGTGCACCCGCTCGAGAAACAGTCCTTCAATATCCTAGCATACCCTTGGCCTTGCAGAGGACCTCTCACATTGTACAAGTACATGCTGTATTGTTTATTTACCATCAACCTAAATACAAAGCTTGGGTCGAACACTGGGCAGAAGGTATGGCTCAACCTCTCTTTTCGGGATGCTTGTTTCTTTGTGATACTGTATGATTCAAGGGGATGTAAGATGCTTGGTCCGCTGTTATTGCTTACCAAGACGGCGACTTCGACATTTCATACAGCACTGCTGCGATAACACCGCACTCGGGCGATGAGACTGCACTTCTTGAGGATCGGTTCAAGAAATGTGCTAGCCAGGATGTACTTCGCAGTTTCAGGCAGGACAGGGCGCGTGTCAGATGCTGATCGTTGTTGGGAGTTGCTGTGCCAGGGCCATGCGGCGACAGTGCAGTTAAGGTAGAGTGGCCGAAATGGTTCGAGGTCTAGTCTGTTAAGACCAGCACTCCAAACCAGGCCGAGGAGCCCAGCCGACTAAAATCCCAAAGATCTTGGAGCTTTAAGGGTCCTCTGAGCCTTGCCAGCCCCACCCAAGATGGCCTCCTCGTCACCCTCACCGGCCTGCGCCAAGCCGGCTAAGTTCCGCACAGCACTGGTATGTCTGTGCATGTGTGTCAGAGGGGAGGGAGAAGCAGGGTCGGCTGCAGAAGCCTTGATAGTACAGGTGTGCTGCTGCTGCTCTGGCATGAGATGAGTACATCACATCTGCAAGGGAAGCTGTTGGGACTTGACGTTTTCGTCCTGAAATGAAAATGCCAAGCC